GGGGGGCTGGGACATGGAGGGGGACAGGGACTGAGGAGACCGGGACCTGAGGGGACACAAGGACCGGGGGGCTGGGACATGAGGGGGGACAGGGACTGGGGGTGCTGGGGCCTGAGGGGGGACGGGGCTATGGGGGGTGTCAGGGCTGTGGGGGGACAGGAGTGTGGCCATGGATGGGCCAAACTCCGATTCTGCCCCATGCTCTGCCTCCAGCTCAGTCCCCAGCCTGGGGATGCAGCTCCTGGCTGAATTCCTTCCCTGGGGCCTTCCCGAGGCTCCAGACTCTTTCTAGGCTGGGGAGGGTGGTGGGTGGTCACGTCCCTGGCCCAGGACAGGGCCACCGGGACAGTCACTGGGGCCACATGGTGGAATCTGACCCACAGGGTTCCAAACTTGGGCTCAGCCCAGCTAAGCTGGAGCAAACGCTGTGCAGCTGGCCTGGGGTTTAACCCGGTTTTAACCCAAACTGGTTTCTCTGCAAGGTCATGGAAAGGGAAACAGTCCCTGCCCACACCTGGCTGCTCCCAGCGCCTGGCGAGAGCCAGGCAGGAGCAAAACCCAAACCCCAGCCCACCTTTGGGGGAAATGATTCCCAGGGGTTTGGGAGTGGGGAGGTATGTGAGGAGGGGAAATCCCGCTGCAGGGAATTGGTGAAGGTGGTGTCGGGGTGTTGGGAGTGCTCCCTGTCACACTGTGAGTGAGGCCTCGCTCCTGCCAGGCTGTGCCACGTCCCTGCTGTGCCTTGGCCTTGCCGTATCCCGTCCATGCTGCGTCCTGACCGTGCCATATCCACTCTGTGCCACATTCTGGCCTTGCCGATTCCCAGGCCTTGCCCTATCCCAGCTTTGCCATATCCCAGCTGTGCAGTATTTCAGGTTGTGCCAAATCCCAGCATTTCCAGCGCTCTGTGCATCCTCCTCAGCCTTGTCCTGTGCCATGGAGGTGTCAGTGGAGGGCAGATCCGTGTTTCAGCCCGTGATTCCCACTGGCGATGCCGGTGCGTGTCCATCCAGGTGTTTCTGGCTCTCGGTGCCACCGGGGTGTCCCCGGGATCGATCCTGGTGCCACCGGCGGGGCAGTGCCAGGTGCTGTCGCACAGGTGAACACACAGCCCCCGTTCGGGGTGGGCTCCGCCGAGGGTCGCAGCCCCTTCCTCGTGTCCCACGAGCAGGGAGAGCGGGAGCTGTGCCCTGAAAATAAACACGGTGAAAGTGCAGCACACGCAGGGACGCGTTCATTGTGTCCATCCTCAGGTCTGGAGCCCTCGGTCGATCTCCCAGCGATGGGGCGGACTCGAAGCTCCTTGTCCGTGTGCTTTACACTCCTCCAGCCCCGGCTGTGTCCCAGCTCCGCGCCAGGTTCGCTCCGGAGCTGCCCCGGGCTCCTTCCAGCCGGCTTCGCTCACACCGGGGCTGCTCCGGGAGCCGAGGCTGGTCCGTGGGAGCTGCGGGCGCAGATTTGGGGTTGCTCTGGGGCGCTCCGGCCGTGCAGGTCTGGGCTCCGTGAGTGCAACCTGGGCTCTGTGGGAGGTCCGTGAGTGCCGGTCAGGGGTCCGTGAGTGCCGGTCTGGGGTCCGTAGGTGCCGGTCTGGGGTCCGTAGGTGCCGGTCAGGGGTCCGTGAGTGCCGGTCTGGGGTCCGTGAGTGCCGGTCTGGGGTCCGTAGGTGCCGGTCTGGGGTCCGTAGGTGCCGGTCAGGGGTCCGTGAGTGCCGGTCTGGGGTCCGTGAGTGCCGGTCTGGGGTCCGTAGGTGCCGGTCAGGGGTCCGTGAGTGCCGGTCTGGGGTCCGTGAGTGCCGGTCTGGGGTCCGCGGTTACAGCCAGCCCCGGTGATCCCGGTGATCCCGGTGTCCCTCGCCCCCCGCCGCCCGAGCGGGGCCGGTCCCGCCCCGTTCCGGTGACGGTGCGGGCGGGCCGGAAGCGTGGGGGGGGGGCGCGCCCGCCCCGTTCTCCGTTCCCGTCCCGGCTGCTCCCGTCCCGGCCCGGTCCCAGCCCGGTACCGCCATGCGCAAATTCTTCCAGGAGATCAAGGCCGACCTGAAGTTCAAGACGGCGGGGCCTGGGCAGAAGCTCTCGGAACCGTCCCGGTACGGGCTGGGGGGACCCTCCGGTAACGGCACCGCCGGTAACGCCACCCCCGATCAGCAGCGGCCCCTCCGCGGCCGGTACCGCCCGCCCTGGGCCCGGCACCTCCCCGGGGGCTCGGGGCTGGCGCCGCCGGCTGGGTGGGCACGAGCGGCCACCGAGCCCGTGTCCTCCGTGCCAGGGCCCCCAAGGAGAAGCCGAAAGCCGAGGTGGCCCCCAAGCCCCGGCAGGCCCCGACGGATGAGGCGCAAAGAGCGGCGGCCGCGGCGCTGGCCCGGCTGGAGCTGAAGCCCAAGGGAAAGGCTCCGTCCTCGCAGGAGACCATCAAGAACCAGGGTAGGAAACCGCGGTCCCGGGTGCGGCTTTCGAGGGTGTTTTGGGGCAGCTGTGGTGGAAATGGGGTCATGGGCTGGGACAGCACACCTGGGCAGGTGTTGTTTGCTTCCCAGGGCAGCGCTGAGCTGTCCAAAAGCTTCTGCTCCAAATAGGGTTTGTGTGTTGTAGTGAGGAAAGAGCTGATGGCCGAGGCAGCTGCCAGCGAGAAGGGGCTGTCCATGGAGGAAAAGGTGAGGGCGGTGCTGCCATTCTCTGCTCAGCACCCCTTGGGGCTGTTCTCCCTGTGCTGAGGGGATCTGCCGGGGTATTTATAAACAAAACCCTCCCGTGCTCAGTTTGGTTTCATCTCCTTCAGGGGCAGGAGGAGGGAGGGGCAGCTGCTCCCTCTGTCTCAGGGGTTTATTTCATCTGCCCCTTGACTGGTGCCATTGTGAGGAAAGACCAGAAGGAAAAGCAGCTCCGAGAAGCCATCCAGGCAGTGAGTGCTTCCTTCAAACTCCTTCCTCCCCTCTTCAAACTCCTTTTGTGCCATGGGTCCCCTCCAGCAGTGACCTCTCCAACCCTCCACCTCCTCCCTGTAAAATCTCCCCCAGGACAATTTCACTTTACCTGTTCAATCACCTCTGGCCCAGCAAATAGGAACAGGATCTGGGGTCAGCTCCTCCCTGAGCAGCTTCTTCCCCTCTCCCCCAGTATTACTCTGTGGATCCAGTGGCTGCTTCCATCATGGAGATCCACACCTTCAACAAGGACCGGGAGAAGGTCCAGCTGTGCGTGGAGACCATGGCCAAGTGAGTGTGGCTGAGGGCATGGGCAGCTCATCCCTTCCCTGGTGGTTTTCTTGCTCTGCTTCTGGAAAAAATTTTTTGGAAGAAAACTGAACTCTTGAACCACCCAATTTGTCAGTTGACCTGATGTCAGCATCCTGGAGGAGTTGGTCCCACTAATCCAAGAGGTTTGGGAGCTGCTGGTTGTTTTGTTTGGCCCCAAAACATTCCTCTGTTTTATCTTTCTGGGTTTCTCAGCTTTTTTACTCCGTGAGAAATACTGTGAGGTCTCTGTTTCCTCTCTGACCTTGGAGTGTCCTGCTTTGATCCAGGCAGTGCATTCCTTTTCCTGCAGGTACCTGGATAACATTTATCTCCATCCAGAGGAGGAGAAATACCGGAAAATCAAACTGCAGAACAAAGTGTTTCAGGTGAGCTCAGACTCCACAGCTGCTCAGTCTTGGAAAGCCCTTGCTTGGAGCAAACTCCAAAACTCTAAATCTCGTCCTTTTCTTCCAGGAAAGGATAAGCTGCTTGGAAGGGACACACAAATTTTTCCAGGCTGTTGGGTTTGAGACCAAAACACTGCCTGTTCCAGGACAAGGCAAGAACTCGTGGTGTTAATGTGGAGTCAGGGCTTTGGGGGGTGCTGGGGGCCAGTTCTGGTTGCTGACAGCTCCACAAGGCTGGAACCAAAGCAGCCTCCGAGCCTGCACACTCCTTGTCCGGACATTTCCCCGGAGATCCTTGTCCCTAAAAAAGACCAAGAGCCTCACGCCGCATTTCTGCGTTTGCAGACACCACGGAGGAGTTCTACGTGCTGAAAGAGGAGATGCTGAACAGGCTGGAGGAGCTGAAGGACGGCAAGGAGCAGCTGCAGAGCTCGGAGCCCGTGCGGGCTCAGCTGCACCGGCAGCCGACGCTGTTCCGGCCGTCACCCGCGGCCGCGCATTTCGAGCTGCCCCACGACTTCTTCAGCCTCACTGCAGACGAGCTCCGCAGGGAGCAGCGGCTCCGGTGAGGGCCTGGACAGGGGACAGCAGCCAGGAGCTCGTGGCTCTCTCCTGGGGGCTTACAAGGGTCTCTCTCCCCGCAGGACAGAGGCGGTGGAGAAGGCGTTGATGCTGAGGACCAGAGCCATGCGCGAGAAGGAGGAGCAGAGGGAGATGAGGAAATACAACTACACCCTGCTGCGGGTGCGCTTCCCCGATGGATACATCCTGCAAGGTAACTGAGACTCCTGCCCTTCCTTTGGCACCTCCAGGAGCTTCTGAGGCTACTCAGAGTGTAAGGAGCTGGGTATCAGGAGGTGCTGAGTTCAGCTGGTGGGATAAACCACCCCAAAACCACATTTGGTTAACATTTCTCCATGAATTCTTCCCATTTCCAAACCCTCCCCCTGCTCAGGGTTGGGATTTTAAGCCAGGATTGGACAGAGAGAGAAGAATCTCAAGGCATCATTAATTAAAG